TAAATGTGAGCCATGCTCTGGCCAAGGCAGCCTTCTGGTGCACTTGAACTAGGGAAAAATAAGAATGGCAGTGATTCTCAAGGGGGATGATGTTGATCCTACCTCAGGGACATTTGGCAATGTCTGGAGACATCTGTGGTTGTTACAACTGTGGTGGGGGGGCGGAGATAGGAGGGGTCACTATTGGCATCCATGGGAGAGGTCAGGAATTCTGCTAACTATCCTACAATGCACAGAACACGAACAGCACAACAAGGAGTTACTGGCCCAAAGTGTCAACAGTGCCACTGTTGAGCAACCCTGGAACAGGCACACAGGGTACCATGAAAGACATGAGTCCAAACTCAGGGATGTCCTTCGTCTTCTGAAGGCAGAAGGTTATTCAAGCTCTTTGTTTCTGTAGCTTCCATTTGTTGTTATTTATCTAGAAAAAAGATGTGGATCAACACAGGGGCCGGCAGGGAAAGGCTGACAGGTCGATCACACAGCCAGCTCTCCATAGGAGCTGGGCTTTAAAGGCTCAGTCTATCTGACATGCGATAAATACTGAGGCCCGACGTAAGCCCTTGATTCCTTCAGAAATTGGTCATCGCTTTAACGGTAGCAGATGGATGAAATGTTCAGTCCTGCGCTGCCTGATTAGATTTACTCCACACAGATTCCCCAGGTGGTCTCCCCTCTTCACTGAAGAGTTAAAACAGACCATTTAGTTGATAAAATCGCGTCTCTCGTGAGTTAACAGAGTGGAACTAGCTCCTGGACCAGACTGTAGCACAAATGCTGCAGAGGAAGCCAGGCTGGAGGGCCAGATATTTTCTTTGCAGGTGATTCGACACAGTTCAGTGGTCGATGGCGTTTGGAAGCGGAACACCTCTTGATGATCCAGGCCCCCCTGTGTACGGCCAGGACCTCAGAGGATGGACATAATCTCTTTTCCCTATAAAGTGAATCTGGGCATTTTATAGCTGAAAAGGGAGCAGTTCCATTTGAGTTAATCAAGAGGCTGAAGGCGAAGGTGCATTATGTAGATTTTAGGGACATTCTTCCTTGATTGACAAGGTCCTGTGGCCACCACCCGTAAAGCTTTAGCTACGGTCCATTTCCTGCCATCACTCAAGGGATGCGTGTTCTCTTGGTTATGCTCACGTGGGGCCTGCAGGGTTTTTACACATTAGTCTAAGGAATAACTATAGTCTGACTCTTGGAACTGAGCACACTTGCGAACCGTAACCCCGCAACATTTCTTTCTTGCTGAACTAAAGAAAGCAGCAACGTTACTGAGGGGTGAACATACCTTTCCGCCACTTTGGACATCTTCAAACAATGTCTGTCAATCTGTGCATTCAAAAATGTAATCTGGGGAAAGAGAAGACAAGGATGTTAAGACCAAAATAGAATTCTTATGGTTCCGCTTGATTCCATGAACACAAATTGTGTATTTCCACCAAGATTCAAACACCCCTTCTCGCAAGACCTCTCCAGCTTGGCATGCCAGTAACCAATTTGCCCTGTGGATATTCCTGTCACACTTGAGATTCACTGTCCACAATTTTGCCCATGTCGCATATTCTCCTGTATTGTATTGATTTAAGTCTTGATTTCCAAAACTTAAAGGCAATGTATATCTTATAAAGCTCAGCAACAGCCGGGACAGGTGGTATGTGCACCTCGCATACCTCTCCTCTGCCCACCTTCAGCATATACGTCACACCTGTGTGCCTGGCCTGCTTGACTGCAACCATCAAATAGCTATTATCACACATCTGCTTCCTCTCCTCCACCCAGTAATAAACTTGGCAAGGGCAGGCGCTAAAAGTTTACTCCTTTGGGTGTTTCTCCCCCAGAAGCCAGCGAGACATATAAGACAGATAGTGGGCCCTCTAGTTGCCTTACCAGGAAACATCAGAAGGGACTAAGGTAACTAGCCATCATCTCTTGACCTGGTCTCCTCATCACAAAGGAAAATAGCATTTAACTAAAGAATGCTGACGTGGCATTGGGAGTAGGGCTCTCTTATTCTTAAACTTTGCTTTTGAATCACAATAATAAACAAAGGGTGGTCCAGAGCTGATTTGCTCTGGAAGTGCATCACCATTTGGGGGATCCCTCCTCCACCTGCCACAGTGGAAAGGGCAGTTGTGGCACCGGCATAACCCACTGATGTCCTTCTCCAATGGAACTTGGGAGAGGACTCTTCTCTCAAGCTTCCATGGGTGGTTCACGCATAGAACTCACAAGGTTCAAGTTACCCACAGCTGGGTTCCACTGTGGGGTCCAGGAACCCAGTGGCTCACCCTGACCTCAGGTGGGAACTTTACAAGGGCTTTTCAACTGGCCGTGTCTCCTCCCGGGCAGGCAGCTATCAGCTTATTCACCTGTTTCCGGATGTCCTCTTTTGTAGTTTTTCTGATGGGCTGGCTGAGCACGTGCACAGGGCTCTGGGACTGGGACTCTTCTGTCACACCGTACACTGACTAGAAGAAGCAAGGACACAGAGTCATCTACCCTTACAGCTAAAGGGTAGCCTGGGGGTAGGTGGGTTCAACCACTCATCTGGTTCTTTTAATCCCCTCCTGACACCTGGATAATAAGTGACTGGCCTCTGCTTGAGTTTCTTCTCTGATGAGAACTCTGCCTCTTGAGTGATCTCATCCCACCTTTGGGTTACCACTTAGAAAAGCTTGCCTTTTATGGAGCTGAAAACGGCCTTCTAGTATATCAGTGTCTGGCCAAACACAGTCCATAGACCATCTGCAAAGAACCATCTGGGGGTTCTTGGTAAAGATGCGCATTGATAAGCCAACCTTAGACCTACTGAACCCGAATCTTTGTGGGTGGCTTTGGGAATCTACACATCTATCAAATGCCCCAGATGATTCTGAGGCAAAAGAAAGTTCAAGAACAAATGCTGGAGATGATGCACAGAAGATCCCCTGGATTCCCCGTTGGTCAGCAGATGGCATGCCCATGTGGTAGAGAACTGAGATGGGAGGATTTCAGGCCTTGGTTTCTCAGTATGTCCATAGTCATAGCTACTTTTTAAGTTGTTCCCAGTGGTTTGGACGGACTAAATGTAATCTTTGCTTTGGAAAAGAAACAAAACCAGATAAAGCAGATGGGACTCCATGAAATTCTATAATATCAGAATTAAGGGCCCCTTAAAGACTGAATTAGGAAAATTTACAACTAAAATTTTGATATATAACACAGTATCTCAGTGAAGAACAAAATATACAGTAGATTCAAGAAGTTTATAGACCCTCCACAGTTGACTACCTCCTTACGATGACCACCTTTTCAAGTTGACCTAATTTTCATAGATTGGACATGTGCCACATGTACACATCAGTAGAGTATGACTAGTTCCTTATGTTGACCAGTTTGTTACAGTCCCTTTGGTGGTCAACTTACAGAGGTTCTACTTCGCGGATCTCGTGTGTGTGTGTGTGTGTGTGTGTCTCATGTATAAATATGTGAGAGAGATAACTGTTCCTTACAAGAAATAGGAATGTTTGGGAACACTTCTCCAATTTTTTGAAATTAATATTATGGGGTTCAGCCATATTCTCTTATAACATTGACTTTGGTGCCCTGGTGAGGGTGGGACGTGTGGAATGTGGGCAGTCCGAGTATGGCACCCATGGGTATGCTATGGGACTATGCCTTTCAGTTAAGTGAAATACAAGTGACCATTGGGTGCTTCATAGTTGGGCAAGAAGAAGGTTTGAGTTTGGAGGACCTAGTTCTAGTAAAAGACTCTCATTTGCTAAGTACCAAGCTCACTTTCGCCTGTGGACGTTCTCATGTTTTTGTTCCTTTGTTTCCTTTCTCTCCCTCTCTGACACCTCCCCAGAGCTGAGTGCTACTTGGCCTCAGCACACTTGACTCTGCTATAGGAAGCCCTGGGGAAGCTCCCCCCGCCCACCACGTGGCTTAGCTGCCCTTCCCGTGCTCCTCAGCCCTCCTGTCCTTCCCCTGACACGGCACCCACAGCCCTGTTGCCCGTTGGCTGGTTTTGTTCCCTGCCAGACTGTGGCTTGGCGAGGACCTGCCCCTGTATCCCACCGTGAGCACCGTGCCAAGCACAGGTCAGACACTCAATAAATACACGTGGAATGAATGAATGAAATGATTTCAAAAGACAAAATGTATTAGAATTACAAATTCTGAGCAGTACTAGAATTGGAAGAGCTAATTTACATTAAGAATTTTTAGTTCAGCCAAACTAGCGAACCTTTTTAACCTTTTGTGGATTCTTCAAACGTCGACATTTTCGGATATCCATTTCTGTTGTGTTCACACAGCCTGGCTGAGGAAAAAAAAAAGTCAGTGCATAAATTACTAAGTGAAAATTCTCTTCCAATTTTTCCAATTTAGCCCAAGTAATTCCATCAGAACCAGTCTTTTATCTTTGCCATTACAGATAATGCATGATTTTCTCCCCATCTTTCCGTAATATATATTTCTCTCTGGAGCTCTCATATGAAATATAAAAGCTTACCCCCTAATACGTAAGGCTGATAAGTATAGTGCACAGTTTGTAAGAGCAGGTGGCGAGATTGCTTCAGCCGCAGCCTTTGCTACTGTACATCCCGAACCATCTGAAATGGCTCCACTATCAGCGTGGCCAGTGACTTTTAGTTTTTGCTTTTAAGCGGGTTGGGGATGACTAAAATAGTTCATTCACTTTCAGTTTCACTTCATGAGGGAAATGCAAGATTTGTTTTAGTAACATGAAATTAGAAATACAACCAGACCTCATTATTTACGGCTTTTGTATTTGTGAATTCTACTACCTGCTACAATGTATTTGTAACTCCCAAATCAGCACTTGTGGCATTTTAATGACCATTTTGCGAACATTCATAGAGAGGTAAACATTTTCAGTGCCCTGCTGTGTGGCTACCCCTGACTCTTTGCCTGCGTGTTTCAGTCCTCACACTGTGACCCGTCTAGTTAGGGTTTACTTAGTGCCAAGTTTCGTGCATTTTTGTGCTTTTTGTTGGGGATTATGCTGTTAAAGTGGCACAAGTATGTTAACCAGTTTGATGAAAGTATTTCAAATTGTACATAAAACTAGTACATTGTACCCCATAATTGAATTAATGTACACAGCTATGATTTAATAATAAAATAAAATAAAATGGCATAAGCATAGTGTTATAGTAAATGCAAGAAGGTTGTGATGTGTGTTAGGAAAAAATACACATTAGATACGTTTTGTTCAGGTATAACTTCCAATGTCGTTGGCTATGAGCTCAGTGTTTGTGAATCAACAATATACGTCCAAGGTGTCTTGACACAGAAACACACATTAAATAAGGCTACGTATTCATCGCTTGATAAAAATGTGACCGAGGATTGTAGGCAGCTAACTCTGTATTTCTGCCAGGAGCAATCCTCTAATATTTGCTAGTTCAGTGTTTGCGAAGATGTCATAGAACATAACTACCACGAATAATGAGAATTAACTGTATTTGAAAGGGAATATTTTAAGATTCAGAGTTGAATGATGGTAGAAATGAAAATTATTAATTTTGGGAATGTAAACTTTGGGACCCGAAGGTGTCCCGAAGGTGGTGGAATCTCCACAGCGCCTCCATTTCCAACTTCACATTTTCATGGATGAATGATTTTTAAAAGGTGGAAACAACATCCATTCCAGGAAACCTACTGAGGTTATATGAATGAATGGTAAAACAATTAAACAAAGCGCAGCAATTTTCTTAAGAATGAGACACCTGGTGGCTAAAGACAGTCTTTTCTTTCAAGAGAAGGAAACAGAAACATTAAGAAAAAGATCAAAACAAAACACTAGAGGATCACATAAAGCTTTCTCACCACTGGCCTGTGGACATCCCAAAAAGCCCGTTCTTGACTATCCAAAATTTTCCTTTCTGTCTTGTCCTTTTTGCGATCAATCCTGAAAGAGTAAAGAGAGGGAATAAGAGACTTTGGTGTTCTGTTTTTCCTTTCTGACCCTTGCCCTAGAAATCTACTCTTGCTTCAAGGAGCTCAGTGCACACAGGGCTGTGAGCACCTGTGTGGTTCCTGCTCCCGGCTGAGTGTTAAATACAGGTGTACGCGGCTTCCCTCCAGGAAACCTCCGAAGTGCCGCACAGGTTTGAGAACGTGTTTTACGCTGGATTACAGACTGACATACATGTATAATGACCTTGGAGGCTTACGGGAAGAACAAGGATGTCGCTGTTCCTCTGAGATATTACTATTTGGATTATTAAGAAGTGAATTATCTATTCGATAGCCCCCTTCGTCAGAGTGGATACTGTGTATATAAATTGTAAGAAGGAATCTAGCCACTCTAATAATCTTTCCAGTATTCCACCTTCAAATCTGAAAGTTTGCTTTAGACTTAGAATCAGTACATAGGTCTTTAAAATGCTATAATTATGTGTCTTCAAAGTCACTTAAACCATCCAGCTCTCTAAAGGCAGAGTGACAAGCTCCAGAAGGCAAATATCACTGGCCTCAGCAGGGGGGAGGCAAAAATTGCAAGAAGAAAATTACAGGTGACAAAACTAGATTCTTTATGTTCTGATCTGCAGCACAGATAAGAGGCTTCCTTTAAAAAAAAATGTATCACTTCATAGTTTCTCTCTAAGTAAAAAGTAACTCGGAGTAATCACTGTGTAACTTCTGGGTCTCTGGTTCTTGGCTCTCCTGGGAACACTTGAGTTTACTGGACTGAAATTAATCCATAATTATCCATGATTTTTGTGATAATTACTGTGTACTTAAATGGTCCACAATTATGATGTAATCAGAATTTATCAAAAAAGTGAATCGGGAAATACTATATATGTACATATGAAGTGATGATTTTCCCTCCTTTTATGGCTTGTGATGCGATTTGATTCTGGAAGAACAAATTAGCATTCTTCTTTGCTTCCCAGGGGCTTCTGAGCACACAGGCACAATTCTACCTTAGTTCAGGTGAATCCCAGCCCCCTTCCCACTGCTCTCCTGCCTTCCCCTTCTTCAGGTGCCTCTTGCTACCAGTGTCTGGTGCCCACCTCCCTTGGGATGCAGAGAGAGCATCATGGCAATGGCAGTGTACAGACCACTGGACCAGATAACCTAGCTGTGACTGTGGCTGTGATCGCTTGGTACCCACACAGCCTGGGGCTGGGCTCAGTCCAGGCCTTGTGCTGCAGTGCGGCCCACCACCAGGATGCTCCCAGGCAGGTGGTGTCTGTAACAAGCTACTCACATCCCCCAGCTCAGCATCCCTCTCCCATCCCTCTGTCCCACTTTTTCTGTACCACTCCTCACTAAACCAGACACCATCCCCACAAAGGGCCAGGAGGATCCAGACCCGAGCAATTTTGTTTCTCAGAATTAAGTGGATCTGGCTGACGCCCACGTGTGTGGGCTGGAGGACGTGGAGTCCCCATTCCTCATGTTTTCTTAGACAGGAAGGAATTTCCACTATATAATATATGGGAGAAAAAAAATAAGGGAAAACCCCACCTCCTGTCCTTCAAGGAGGAAGAATGACTTAACTTATTGGTAGATTTGAAAGAAGAAATCGAGACAGCTCCGGCTGGCCCTTTCAGGGTCCACCTTTGCTCACAGTATCTGCCCTGTCTGTGCAGTGAACTTATAGGGATGGGCTCTGCCCTGGGACAGGCTACAGATGCTTACCTCTGCCCAGAAGGGACAAGTTTAATTTGATCTGTGGCCACAGATCCAAAGCCATGCCCCATAATCTAGCTTCTAATTAAGGTAATAATCTGACATTTTGGACTCCAAATGTCTGACTTCTGTGCCTTATTTTTCAATTGGTTCGAAACCCCTCCCCTGTCAAGCAGAAAAAAAGACAGAGTACTTGTTGTCTTCCCTAAAACTCCAATATGTTTTCCTATGAAATGAAATCTCTAGCCTAGCGGTTCTCAACCTGTGGGTCACAACCCCTTTGTAACAATGAAAACACATAATGGCATTAGGAAGGTTGAGAACCAGGGCTCTCGTCCTACAGGTAAAATGGGTCTGATGTTTTTCAACCTTCAAGTACAGAAGAGCCCTTGGGAATCCCCGGGGGAAGTAGGTACACCTTATAACCAGAGGTCTGTATTTGGGAGGCTGTCCCTTGCCTGCTGAAGCATACACCTTTGAAATTACTTTAGAGTGACCTCAGTTACAAAGATGAAACTTATCCATCCTGTCCTTAATTTCTACTCAGTCACGCTGACGAGAGGTTGGGACGCTAACACCTGTTTTTGGCAAACCCCACTCTCACACCATCTCCAAATTCCCAGCCTTTTTCTCTCTGAAAGGGTCTCTCCCGAGTTCACCTACTTCACTTGTGCTTCTGCTTGCATGAAGATGAATTCCCACTTTCTGGCAAAGGCTCTCTGGAGTCTTGCTAAGTTCTCCTAATGAGAAAAGAAAATCAACAAGAAGGCATTAATCATCGTAAGTTAGCACCTGCACACCCACGCTTATTACGAGGCAGCCATCTATTTCGGTTACTCTCAACAAAAGAGCAGGCCCCACTTTAAATCCACCGGACATGGAACCAATTTGACTTTGCACCAGACCCTGCCGCTGTACAGAGCGGAACTATTCATGTTAATTTACACACCTATTATGTCTGACGTCTCGATGGTTCGCTGGATTCCTCTCTTCATATGTGTTTTATATGAACACAACCCACACAGAACTTGCTGCTGGAACTAGATAGAATGGTTTGTGGCTGCTGGGGAATGAAAGATGGGCTCCTGGCAGCTCGTGAGGCATCTCTGAGAGCAAAGCTGAGGCTGGATTTCTCAGGACTCATCTTCCAGCAGAGACCTGGGAAGGTCACAGAGGACCTGCCAGGATTAAAGAACGGCCCAGAGGGAGTGTCTATGTTTGTGATGTTCGTGAAAAGACAAGCCAAAAACAGAAAGCAAGCCATCCAGGGTTGCCTTTAGAGAAAAAGGGGGGAAGTGTTTCCTCTAAGTCACAGTTACCTAGTGGAACCGGAGGACGGTGAGGAGGGGAGTTTGACAGGTTGCCTAATGATCCTACTAATTCAGATGAATGCGTGGCGGGAGCCCACACAATGCTATGTATTTTCATAGAGCTCATGCCAACACTAATTGATTATCCTCATTAGTGGATTATTAATATAAAAGGAGCTTTAACTCCGCAGCACCACATGTGAACTCACAGTTATTACCAAGGCTTGCAGTGCAAGTACGTCTAAAAAAACTGGCTCTTCAATGCTTCTGCTGTTCATAGGATGTAAAGCTCTGAATGCCCAAAGATCAGTATCGGTTGGGGCGTAGTTGGGTGATACAGTCTTGGCATGGAATTCTAGGCGGCCACTAAAAACAATAGAGTCCATTATCATTCTGGCAGGGAAAGGCTCCTGAGGTGCCACCAGTACATGACTGGAAGCCGCAACAGCTGACACAGTCATGTTTGTGGTCTGCTTCCTTTTTTTCTTTCTTTTTCGGTAAAGAAAAAATTGCATGTACGGAAAAAAACTTGGTGGGGGAAAGAATCACAGGTCATCTTCTCTCTTTGTTGTTTGAATTTTTGTTTTAAGTAAGAGAATAAGAATAAGTAATTCTTAACTTTCTAACCATTTTATGCAGAACTTCAAGCTGAGGAACATCTTTACAAATACCAGAGTGGAATGGCTAAGGGACACTGAAGAAAGTCCACCAGGAGTTGGGGCTGTCTTATCTGTGTGCAGGCCATTTTCTAAAACACGGAGAATGTGGGGAGGAGAAACACAGGACGAAGGTGCCCCCAGTTCTGCCGTCTGGGTCTTTCCTCTGCTCGTGTTAGGGAAGTGACGTCATCATGTCCAAGCACAGAGCACAATAGCCATCTTCTGAGAGATGGGCGATGTGACTGCTGGGTGTCAGGGAAGACAGGGACAGGACTGGGCTCCCTGGACACTCAATGCCATGGTTTTGAGCAAAGCATGTCAGTGTTTGCTTGGGAAGATCAGAGTATCCAACATAAGATCTGACATGCAAATGTTAACCAGGTCCGGATGCTCTGAACAAACTCCTGCCCTGCGTCCCCCTCCTGGTCCCATCCACCCCCATTCCTAGGTTCTTAAAGCCAGTCGGATTAAAGGGGAAGAAGGGCTGTGCACAGGGCACTGCTCTCCAGTGGCACCCACTGGGCAGGGGAGAGGAGAACGATGGCCCAGTGCCTTGGCAGGCTTGGGGACCCAAAAGAGTGAAGGCCTGGCAGAGCGGGGCCTCATGCTTGTTTTGGAAACTGAGGCAGTAGAAGCAGGAAAGGCATTTGGATGGTGAGGGCCTGAAGATGATGTTAATCTGGACTATTCAGGGAAGGATTCCCTACTGCCCTAACGTAGCCCCCTCCCCCTAGAAATGCTGGCCCTGGGGCCATTCCTGGCTCAGCAGCACCTCCCCTGTGGTGGGTAGGAGGAGAGGGAAGTGGGAAGTACATGGATGTTTACCCGATTTCTGTATCTCTGTGACTCATATGAAGTTCAGTTTGGGGAAAAATTCTGCAACCCAAAGTTTTAAAAAAAATTTAAATTATCTGTGAGTTTTCAAGCGCTCTGTGTTTTGGTTTCTGGGTTCCGTCACATGGGAAGGGAGACCAGCATCCAACTTTTGTAAGGAACCACATCTTCGGAAGGAAGATGAAGGAAGAAGGTAAGAAGGCCGGACAGTGGACACCTCCGGGGACATGTGTCTTGTCTTATTTTCTGAATTGAATTTTTAAGTTGTGTTGTTTCTTTTTTTATTTTTAAATTTTAAATTATTATGGGTACAGAATTATTTTCTTTCTTTAGTGTTGAATTTTGAGAGTAATTTATGTAAACTTTTATTGTGACAGTAAGAGGAGCAAGAGAACAAAGGAGGGGAAATGGAAGAGACTTCTTTCCACTGTCTGAAAAGGGACTAGGGCAAGAAAAGGGAGAATGCAAGCTTTCCCTGAGCTCCTCTCACACCTGGCCTAGAAAATAATCATACTTACTGCTTCATAATCTGCCAACTCCAGCCTCGCTTTATTCTGCATTGTCCTCTTACAGAGGTAGATGGCTGAGGAAGAGAGAATACAACATGCACAAAGTCAGCAGTGTAGTAAAATTATAAATCCCTCCATCCACCAGTCCATCCATCCATCCATTCATCCATCCATCCATCCATCCATCCATCCTTCCATGTGTCTGGCCATCCATCCACCCACCAGTCCATCCATCCCTCTGTTCATCCATCTATCCATCCATCCACCCACTCACCAGTCCAGCCAGCCAGCCATCTTTCCAGCCCTTCACCCATCCAGCTAGCCAGCCCTTGCTACATGCCCAGCACTATCCTGAGAAGAACACGTTTTCTAAGTGGAGACCAGATAACCAAACCTTAGGAATCTTCTTGTAGATCATGATCAGATGAGGACCCCATCTTCAAATCCCTACAATTTCCCTTCTTCCTCCTTACTTTGTTTCACCCCAAACATCCTCCTTTCAGTAAACTTTCACAAATACGACTGTATCTATAAGCTCTCTGCACTGAATTCCCATGGCCTCAAAAGTGAGGTCAGCCTCCTAAGGGTGGTAAATGTGGTTCTTTATTTTTTAATTAATTAATTTTTTTTTTTAGAGACAGAATCTCACTTTATTGCCCTCGGTAGAGTGCTGTGGCATCACAGCTCACAGCAACCTCCAGCTCTTGGGCTTAGGTGATTCTCTTGCCTCAGCCTTCCGAGTAGCTGGGACTACAGGTGCCCACCACAACGCCCGGCTATTTTTTGTTGCAGTTTTGGCTGGGGCCAGGTTTGAACCCTCGGTATATGGGGCTGACACCCTACTCACTGAGCCACAGGCGCCGCCCAAATGTGGTTCTTTGTAATGCAGCCTCTGCTTAATCCAGTCAACTCTTTTCCTCCCTCCCTCAGGCATTGCAAGGCCACCAAACTGTCAGCTCCACTCCTTTGCATGTGTGTCCTTTCTGTGAAGGTCCTTCTCTCTTCCCTCTTGCCCTCCATCTGGTGACTTCCTACTGGCCTGTGAAACCCAGCCTGGTGTTCCCCTTAGTTTCTACACATCCTCCATCGTGGAACCTCGGCCATGGCACTGAGATCCTGTGTTTCCTGAGCTGTGCCCTTCCCTAGGCTGAGGACTCTAGAAGGGTAGGGGCTTTGTCTTATGCAGTTTTATCCCTGTCAGGGCCCCTGCAGCACCAGGGCCTGGCCTGCAGTGAGAGGGTAGAAAGAGAAGACAACTGAGGTCTCTTCTGTCCCTCAGTTGCCAGGACATGCTTCTTCCAACATGGCCTGCATCACTTCCTCTCCCTCCTTCTGCTTCCTCGGTGTGTGTCTTTCCCTTCTCCAGTGCCGATGGAAGGACCCGGGGAAGACGGTGAATGAATGGTAAGACCCAAACCAGAACAACCAGGAAAGGAGGTCGCAGATGCTAGCCTTCATGGTGTTGCTGGACAAGACGATTGCTTAATTATCCTGAGAGATCTCTAGTCAACTCCTTGCTGGATCATTTATCACCCTCCATTTGCTGTAAAATTTACTGATGGCACCTGTGATGGGTAGTTTAGCACCTTCCCAGCTGGGAGCCTGCCCTCCGTGTGCACACACTCTCATCCCACCAGGAGAATTGTGTGCTCACAAGAGTCAGCTGCGGTTGTTCCCAAATGTGCTTATGCCAGGCTTATCTGTTATTGTAACCATGGTAAGTTCAAGTTACCAATGAAATTAATGTGAGAAGAGGGAGAGTTGTTGTTTCTACGAAGACTCAGTTGAATGGTTTGGAACAACTTAAAGAAAAGCAGCTGGCTAAGACAACTGCTGGTGAATTTGGTAAAGGTGAGGTAACCAGAAAGATGGGAAAAATAATAAAAATCTAGGGGAGGCCAATATTTAAAGGCTTTAAAAATTGCCTTTAAATTCCTCTTACTCTTTAAAGATACCAAAACGAGGTGGTTTATTCTGAGTGTGGTTTGCTTAACAAAGAAACTCAAGCTACGGTGGCTCATAATCAAAGATAAGTCTTTGGTTCTACCTCAAAAGGCTGTCAAATGAATGTTCTTTTGTTTACCTTCCCTTCATATGAAGTTTGTAAGGTATGTATATATCATTCCTTTTCTACTCACAACTTTTCCAATGAACCAAACGGCCGTTGTGTCTGATAAAGGGATCTCAGTTCTATTACAAAGCATCTCCTTCGTTCTCTTGGACCACAGGCAGTTTGTGGAGTGGGGGCAACCTCAAGAAGGAAGCCTGGTGTGTCACCAGCCCCCTCAGGCCTGGTCAGAATGACCTGCCAGCAGTTCACGTCAGTGAACAGGAGGTGGCAGCTGCTTTGACAATACTGTTTGAATCGGCCAAATGTAAAATTCAGAAGCGGCTAACCCAGATCTGGACGATGGGTTTTATGCAGGCAGAGTCATCCCAAGAAATTTTCAACCCCCCCTCGTCAAAATGGGTCAGTGGGATTGTGAAGTTTGGGACTGTGTATGGGACGCACAGCTAGTGCTGCTCCTGATGACGGCAAGTCTCTTGGCCACATGTTTCCAGCCCCCTTCCCTTGTGGCTACGGTCACTCACAAGGATTCTGTTCCCCACATCCAGAGAGCAGGGTGCGGCCACTCTCAGCACAGATCTCCCTGGGGCTTGTCGGAGCCCCCGATGGTGCTTTCACCAGTACTTGCTACGACATTCAGCCAACCCAAATGACCATGACGACCGCCAATCCTATCAGAGGGCAGCTGGGGCCCTTGTTTCAAACTCAGATGCTGGTTTCTCTTGAATACTTAATTTCTAACTGAAAAACCTTTGTCCCCTTGCCCTCACACCTGGCATTCCAACCCCACTCGTGTCTCACAGGGATGAACCCACTGACACCTCAGGCTCACCACATGTCACCACGATAAAACTGTAACAATGTAAACATTTTATCAAGGGAACAGGTTCATATATAACAGGTGTTGGCACTCAGTAGTTAGAGCACTAGCCCTGCAAACAGGGTGGTGAGTTCCAGCCTTACCTGGGGCTGATTAAAATATATTTTTTAAAAACTATTGAACTTTTTGGATTTCAGTGCACTCAAAAAACTAACCTCCTTCTAAACTGTATTTGTGAGTGACATCATGGTTTACCTCAGTCTCCTAAACTAGGGAACATACAAATCACTCATTACTCCATTGCCCTATAGCCTCTAATTACTTTTTAAAACAAGAGAATCCTAGCATTGGAAGTAACCTCGGCAACCATCAAGTGCAGATAGATCCCTCATTTACAGATGGGAAATTAAAGGCCCAGAGAAATGATTTCCCTAAAAGGTCAGCTAGTGACAGAGTTGGAATTGGCATGGCCATCCAGGGCAGAGTTCTGTGGAGTTTCCTCTGTGACATTCACCAGCCATTTACGCATTCATTTAGTCACATGAACACTTATTGAGCACCTCCTTGGTGTCTTGGGTGCTGAAGAAGTCTCCGTAGTGGCAGCCTCAGCTTAAACTGAGCCCAGCAAACATCAGGCACAGTCCTAGGGACCTTCCAAATATTCACTAACGCAGCCCTTATAATGACCCTGCGCGGTGGGCTCTGTTCTTACTCCCACCTTACAGATGAGGGAACTCTTCAAGTCATCATTTGTCATTGGGGACCCACAGTGGCCGCCCCAAACTGCTGAATCCACTCTAAATATCTCTCCTTGACTCCCAAAGCCTTTTTATAAACCTGCCCCTCCCAAGCTATTCAACCTCGTTAATCATTCTTCATCAACAGAAGACTTCTGGCTCCTCCGACAGGACCCTCACCATGACCTTGCCCCCCCCCCAATCCTAGACTGCTCAGCAGAAAGGACTGTGACGTATCCAGAACTGTGACATAGATATTGACAGAGTCGGTGACCAGTTAATGCTTGTTGAATGAATGAAAGTTTCTGGGTATTCATCAGTCCAAATCATACCTATTTTGAATTCTCAGTTTCAGTTTCACGTCCTTTCTGGTGAGAGGGCCACTGTAGTCATCCTCATGTCAACCACCAGCCTGGTGGAAACAGTATCAGCCACCAGCACAGAACTAATAACACCAGTTAGCACCTCGGCAACAATAAAACCCACCAGCAAGTACCAACTCCGTCCTTTGTGGACACAAACTGAACCTCCTATGCCTCTCATGTAAAATAGGGGGCCAGGGTCAATACCGTTATTACTCTGATTTTAATACGAGGTTTTTGTGGCACAGAGAGGATAACCTGCCGAGATCACACAGCCAGCGGAACTGGTTGATCCTGGGGCCCACTGTGCTGAATTCTCTCTTGGTGATTCCCTGTGATATTCTGACTATACTGCTTTGGAAACACTGGCATTTCTGCAGCCTGCACCTTGACTTCTCCCCCTGATTTTCCATGCACTGAGGCACAGGAATTCATAATAATTTTGCTATAATGAAAGCCTGAAAAAAACTGTTATTTCAATCCTTGTTCATGATGTACAACTAATACAATGATGAAGTAGAGACTGGCTGCAGAGACAGGGGACTGAGGCCCTTCTGAACTCAGCGTAAGATGGCCTAGGCTTTATTGCAGCAAATATTTGAATCTTACTTGGTCTTGGGTAGCTGCTCATACCATTCTCTCGCTCTCTCCATTGCCTAGAAAAATATCAGTTTTTACACTCTCACAGGCACGCGGCTGCTGCACGAAACTGAGGTATAAGAATTCAAATTCCGAGTTGGGCTTTCTTGAGAGATCTTTCAGCTCCAGGAGCATTTGGCTTATGAGTGGTCAAATGCAGCTCCTGTTCAGAGCTGGAGGCTTTGGTGGATCCACTTGTCACATTATTTAGGGTGCAGCACAGTGTCAGGGGTCCACAACGGGCATAAGCTAAGTGGACAGCTAAGCAGACAGCCAATGGCTGTCCTCCTGCTGACTGTCATTCTCCAGACTTGACAAGGAACAACCAGCCCAGCTATAGCCTTCTGAGGCCCTGACTCACTTGCATCCCATCCTCAGGATAGCTTCTAGGTGCTGGTTTCCCCTCCCTCCAACATGGGGTTTGCGGTTGGCACTTACCCCGTAAGCCTGCGAGACAGGGCCCCCTGAACACCACCCAGCTATATCCGCCTTCCTGCCCTAAACAAACCTGCAGAGAAGCCAGAGAGAAGCTGCAGGTCTCACTGAGCACCCATTCTCAAGGACAGCCACGGACTGGTCTGCCGAAGCAGCAGGCCAGCAGCCAGGATGCTGTGCAGAGGGGCAGTGCTGTTGCTACGACCTTCAGCCACATCCGATGGGGGACCAGGAAAGAAGCATGGGCTTTGGGGCCCTCACCTGAGCTCAAGTTCTGCTGCCTCTAGAGAGTGTTCAGCATCTTCAGTAAAGAACCAGAACTGCCAGCAAATATTTACTGGCACCCACCATGTGCTATGCACTATGCCCTGGGGGATATGAGAATGTGCGAGGTGGACCAGTCTCTGCCCTCATTCAACAGGGCATTCAGACGAATGTGGCAGTGTGAGCCTGTGACCTCTCTGGTTCTCAGGTCCTTTCTCTTAAGTAGCATAGTGATAATACAACTTCTTCAGAGAACTGGCACACAGAAATCTTTTTTTTTTTTAAGTCAGAGTTTCACTATGTCTCTCTTGGTAGGGTGCTGGGTTGTCACAGCTCACAGCAACCTCCAGCTCTTGGGCTTAGGCGATTCTCTTGCTTCAGCCTTCCAAGTAGCTGGGACTATAGGTGTCCGTCACAACGCTTGGCCATTTTTTGTTGTAGTTGTCATTGTTGTTTGACAGGCCCGGTATATGTGAACCTGCCAGCTCTGGTATATGTGGCTGGTGCCCTAGCCGCTTGAGCTACAGGCTGAGCCAACATAGAAATCTTAAATAGAGTATGTGGCACAGTGGAATAGGTCCCTTCCTGGAGAGAGCTAACTCCTAACTGTGCCCACTCTGTATTTTCCTAGTCCAGGGGGTCTTCTGTACCTCTCATCCTGGCATCTCTCTCTCTTTTCACCTAACTTCCCAATGAGTTCTTAATAAGTTTTAATAAGTTCATGGGAACTGAAAGGGCTGGTGAGAGGTGGCCCCTTGATCCAGCCCTCCCTGAAACCTTGCCCCTGGAAGGAGTGATCACGAGTCACGGCCCCATAGTGTTGCTGTGGGATCTCAGTTCTCCACAGCCCTATGCAATGAACATATTGACCGGCTCTTGATAAAACTTTCCTCCCTTTCCTCCGCCCTTCCTGGCACTGCATCGTCCAGTATGGTCTGCCTTCCTCCATTATTGGAACAGAACGTTTATCACGTGTCAATAATAGGAGAAAGGCCGAAGCAGGGTCAGGACCCTTCCTACCTATGCACTGTGGTCACCCAGACACCAAGCATTTGTCTTCTGCACTCCCAGAAGTGACCCCAAGTGTGTGTGTGTACTGTGGCTTCAGTTCTTACCATAGTCAGTGTTTTCAGGTTCCCAACAGTTCGAAGGCCAGAAATAAGGAGCCTGCAAAGGAGCACAGGTGTCAGGAGGTACCCAGGACTTGCCCTTGCCCCCAGCTCCAGGCAGGAACCGCCCTATGACAGGCTGCCTCCCTGTCTCCTTCCTGCTGACACCACACTCCAGCTCTCTCGTATTCTCTAAGGCAGCTGAGATGAGTCAACATTTTAATCTAGGTGTTGAGCAATAAAAGATAAAGTCAGCAAAATATGGCAAAAATGAGGTGCTTCAGTTGACAGGGCAAAATTTTTTTACCCCAAGACAATAGAAGTCTAACTGCACAGTTTATGGGGGACAGGAGCCTCAGGTCTGGTTATCCCTTTAACCCTGTCTGAAGAACTCTGCTTCCAAACCCTTTGGTTTGGACTTTGGCACAAACTTCTGGACTTCTACCCTAGGCCCCAATTTCCTCTGGGGCAGGACGTGGAAGAAGGAGTGTGAAATGAGTGGAGAGGATGAGTGGGCAGTGAGTAGAAATTTCACTCCAGGAAGGCGGCCTGGTATACACAGTAGCAGAAAGGCCAAGGGCTACCAGGCTTACCTTCTTCAAATCAAGGCTGCCTCCTAGATTTGCTAAAAACCACATTAATTGTCTGAGCTTCTCAATTTTCTCATGTGTGAGATGACTGATTATTTACACCCCCCAAGTATATTCTTCAGATAAATGAGGAAATACGTGCAAATTTTTTGCTATGTTCAAAAGGTTTGTGTCCTCCCCAAATTCATATGAAATGAATTGAAATCCTAATTCCCAAGGTGATGGTATTAGGAGATGGGCCTTTTTCTCCTTTTTTTTTTTTTTTTTTTTTGAGATAGAGTCTCACTTTGTTACCCTTGGTAGAGTGCTGTGGCATCATAGCTCACCGCAATCTCAAACACTTGGGCTCAAGTGAGCCTCTTGCCTCAGCCTCCCTAGTAGCTGACTGCTTGCCACAATGCTCAGCTATTTTTTAGAGACTGGGTCTTGCTCTTGCTCAGACTGGTGTTGGTCTCCTGAGCTTAGGCAATCTACCTTGGCCTCCCAAAGTGCTAGGATTACAGGTGTGAGCCACCATGCCCAGCCAGAGGTAGGGCCTTTTGAAGGTAATTAGGTAATGAGAGTGGAGTCCTCAGGGATGACATTAGTGCCCTTATAAAAGAGGCCTGAGAGAGGCCTCCTCATCCCTTACGCCACATGAGGACACGGCTAGAAGACACCAATGAGGAACAAGAGACTGGGCCCTCCCTAGACACAGAATCTTCTGGCACCTTGATCTCAGACTTCCCAGCCTCCAGAACTGTGAGAAATATATTTCTGTGGTTTATAAGGCCACTCAGGTTATGGTATTTTGTTACAGTAGTCCAAATGCACTAAGATAGTGCCCGACAGAGTACGCAGTCAACGAGGGTCTTTTACTGTTTGTTTTTCTTTCTTTTTTTTTTATTGTTGGGGATTCATTGAGGGTACAAGAAACCAGTTACACTGACGGCATTTGTTAGGTAAAGTCCCTCTTCTTTTACTATTAAGTGTGTCAATCAACAGGCCAGACAAAAGTTCTCTTGGCTTTGCCAGTGCTGATGAGGAGGGATGGCGGCTCCCTCAAATAGCCTTTCCTGCCTTTTTCCTCCCTTTCCTTTTATCTTCCCTTCCCTTTTCTTTTCTTTCTTTCTTTCTCTTTCCCTTTCTTCTCTTTCCTTCCCGCCCTCTCTTCCTCCCTCCCTCAGTTCTAATCTGAGGTCAGATCCTGATGATGGGACCGTTCCTCAGGTGGCATCAGCAGGCCTACCTGGAAACGATAAAAGGTGCCGTCATCCTTCATGGTGAGAACGTGGTCTGAGATTGGAAAGATGTAGCCCTGGGCAGCGATAAGGCTTCCCAAGTGTATTGCTTCAACTGCAAGAAGGACACAGGAGAGAGAAGGAATTAGGAAGCTGATTACTTAGCTGAAATGTACACTGGACGAGCAGAGAGGCAGCCAGAGAGGTTAAGTGTCATCTGCATTGATGATACGATTGCACTTGCTCAGTTGGGGAGGGCGAGGGCCACCATGTGTCTGAGACTCCTCTGGATCCTAGCTCTGAGAACCTGATGCTACTTAACCTCCATTCCTCACCCTTAGACTTTCAGAAGGAAGTCTGGCTTCACGGTTAAGGGTATGAGCTTTGCCATAGATAAACCTGTATTTAATTAAGTGATATATTTCATGTACAGTCCTTAGCATTATCTGGTTCAGGGCAAATACTCCATAAGTGCTGGCAGCCTTGATTCATATTTGTAGTTTCATCCTGTTTTGTCATCCCCAGCAATGTCACAAGCAACCTGTTGCTCCGTTAGCACCAGCCATAAACAGATTCACATAGTTATGAATTTATCCTGAGCAGCAAGAAAAAAAAATTAAAGACCTCAATGCTTCTACCACACAGAATAATCTTTCACAAACCTAAATGTACTTTGGAAATTATTGAAATGCTCAGGGAGTCTCTAGTAATTACTAATTTCATAAGCTCTAAATTTTAAAAAGCGATTTATTTTGGCTTTATTTGCAAACGTTTCAAGAGGATGTTGCTTATTAAGAACTTGCACTCATAATGGGTGGAATTAGAATGAGTGGAGCCTTATTTTAATTTTTATTTTAGGGATGACTAGTTTTTAAAGTCTCTATGCTTCAAGAATCCTGGGTCCAGCAAGTAGGGAAGTTTCAACGTCTGTAGCTGCTTCTTCCCCCAGGGAAAGAAGAACAAAACCCAGTAAGACGGTGACCTTCCTGTCACCAGCCTCAGAGCTAAAACTCTCACTTCATTCTTTGAGCAGAAATGTTTTTTGCTTAGAAATTTGGCAGATTGGAAGAAAGAAAAGATGCTGGTCACACCCTGGCTATTCCCGGCATCCTGTAGCCTGGGTGTGTCTCATTCCACTTCTGTTCCCAGCTGGCAGGTGTTCTTAGCTCCTCCTACTCAGCCACTTCTCAGAAGCCCAAACAGCTCCCAACACCTCAATGTCCTCCCAAAGGCATCAGAATACAACAAATATTTATAAACATGACCCTCATCATTCGGGAGCTTACAGAGAATCATGCCGGGGTCAGAAGATTCCTGAAGCCCATTCTCATGTATTACCAGCTTCTTCAGTGTTCTCAGTATAATAATAATAAATATGTGGGTCACTATGAAAGTTTTGAGACAGACTATGCTATGGCCTATTATTTGACTTCCAAGAAACATAGTCAACAGCATCCTTTCTGGTTCACATGTGCAAGTTTCAATTTGCTCAGATTATCAGTGTTTCTGGGAGGGCTTCATTTGTTTTTGCCAATGTGGATTTTACGTTTCTTGATTTTTCTCATATCTCAAAGCTTTTGTACTGACTCATGCATGTTTGAGGCTGCAGTGAGCCTTCATTGGACCACTGCACTCCAGCCTGGGCAACAGAGGGAGACCTGGGCTTAAACACAAATAAATAAATACAAATAAAAAATGAATAAATAAGGCAGAAATAAAGAATGATTATATTGGAAGGGCAAAGAAACCAGGGCTCTTGGAAGAGGAAAGACTGCTTCGAGGAAAGAGGAAAGGTAGGTATCCTTAGTTTAGAATCCTAATGCAAAGAAATGTTGACTTTAAGTAAAATGTAACTGTGCTGGTGATCCAGTCCGTGTTTTATAAGTGGACACACAGAAGTCCAGAGTGCACAGGGCCAGCGGGATCCAGTCCGAGTTTTTCAGGTGGACCCTCAAAAGTCCAGGCTGTACTGAGGAAGTACATAGGGGAGCTAACTTGGGTTCTGTCTCTTGAAAGGGTTGGCATGGATGGTTTCTTCCCTGTGAATGAAGAACTTGACTGGAATTAAGAATTTTCACTAGTTGTGACAGCAGTCACGATTGAAGGTGGTGAAAAGGCTTGGGTTATTTCCATGAATGACCTGCTTTTCTGCATTCAGATTTTTGGCAACTTTATTTTATTGAACTGTAGAAAAATTGTATCACTTCTTAGCCAACAGATTAGGAGTATCAGGTTAAAATACAGGAATGCCAGGGCTGACATACTGATCCCAGCAAGGAGTCACAGCTGAAGGTCAGACACCTATAGTGGGTGCTTGGAAAAAAATCTTCAAAAAGCATAGCGGTTGGAACCATTTAATTTGGGGTAGGTAAGTCTAATAATTCCAATATCCATTAAGAACATCAGAGCACATTAGTGGACCTTTATAAATGCGACCTTCAGTCATAAGAACACTTAGTGAAGACAAAGGAAATATATAATAAATTGAGAAAAGTATAATTAACAGCACACGGATAATAAGCTTTACTTACTCAGAATTTTCATTTTTCAGACCTCTTCCCCCATTTCCTAATTATGCTGTGAAAATTAATTTTACTGCTTATTTTCTGATCAGAGGACAGATTTGGCAACTTATCGGTCAGGGTTTTGTTGTTGTTGTTCTAGTAAGTTCTTCCTAATTGAAATGTACAATTAAAGATGAAAAAAAATATTCTTTCACCTTCTTGCAGAAGCCGAAAACAGGAGTCTTAGCAAATAATTAAACATCTTAATTGTGGATCAGGTGGTCTAATTTTAAGAGCTGGCTTTAGAAGGCTGTTCAGTGACAGTGCTACAACTTATGTGTGATTGCTGCGGCTATCAAGAATTCAACTCATTTCACACGTTATTGTTTTGAGCTCTTTGGCATTCTAATAGTTGCTCATTTCCTTGAAGCATGATTTAAATTTAAAGATAGAATGCTCAGTGGAGAAAATAAATTAATTTCATTTGTAAACAGATTGATCCCATGTCCTGGAATTCCCATGTATAACCTCAGTTCTCACGAGGGCAGGGGAATCCAATTTGGAGCTTAATTATGGGGTATTTATTGATAACAGTGGAGATAAAGGCGGGGTCAAGGGTCAGGTACCTGGGTCCTCGATGGAAAGGTTCTTCATGAGCCACTGCACAATGTCAGTACCTGCAATGAGAAAGCAATTTCAACTGAAGGGTTCATGGCTATTTAACCTTGTAGCAGAAGAAACGTGTTTTCCCAGGAGAATTCTGATTCCCGCCAGTACAAACTGACCCTTTTCTGTCCTAACCAAACTTTCCACACATTGATACACTTCCATAGTTACAATTCTGTCCTTTTCTAAAATAAATCCACTTCTGATGGCTCAGGATGACCCTATTTCCACACTGCTAGGAGTGCCTACCGAGGGCTTTCCCAAGACGAGCAGGGTGGAGTTTCATCATGCCTGGCCCAGACCATTTCCTGAGGAAGGGGTCCTCCTCAGCTCCCCGTCCTCACTGACAAGGTCTGACCAACACAGGTGACCTATCAAAAGTCTCTTCGTTTCTGCCATCCCAAATGAATGGGCCACTGCGTCTCTGGCAGAAACTTCTGTGTGTTCACCCAAATTTCTTCCCTCTCCTGCCTGGCACACAGCTAGATTACCTTTCTGGACACATCTGCACTTGGGTGTGGACTAAGTTCTATGAATAAACGTGGGAAGAAATGACACCTGCCGTTTCCAGACCTGGACCATAGAAACTCTCATGTAGTCCTTCCCACCTCGCCACCCTCCTGTTCCCCATCCGTGCCTGGATGCAGAGGACTCCGAGGACCGGGGGGTGGACAGAGCCCCAACAGAACCTGTTGGTGGAAAAGAGCCTGCAAGGAGCTGTGGGTCCATCCGTGAACATCAATACCCTGGGTGAGAAGTGCTGTGACCTGCTCGTAGAAAAACCTCAGTACCTGGGAACTCACAAACCTCCCTACCCAGCACGTTCCAGTTAAATCGTCCTTGATTTCTCTGAAAAGAAACTTGGTCCCCTTTGACTTTTTCCATTGGCCTCAGTTTTGTTTGCCCTTTGATGATAGTAAATCCGTGAGGCTGTCCAGCCCATCCCTCAGGTATTTGAACGGTTTCTGTTTACCACCAGCATCCTTGCTCCAGGGGAAATGTGCCTGGTCCCCAAGACTCCCAGAATGGAGTTCCTCACCATTCTGGTCACAATCCTCTGGATAAGATTCCTTTTGTCTGCCTCCCTTTGACAATGTGGCACCTGTTCTAAGAGTGCACGGTTCATATGGGAGTAGAGGAATCCAATTTTCTGGAAAGTCTTGAACTTTTGGTCAACCCATCTTTGTCACCCAAAGATCTCACTTCAGACCAGTGCAGACCATGGCAGACGGCTGAGTCACCTCAGGATAGAATATTGGTGGAGAAGAACTTGCAAGGGGAGACTTTCTAGCTACCTGGGTCCTGCGGTGGGTTTGAGCTCTGTGTGAGGGAGAGGGTTTGCAAATATTCTCCTGGGCTGGATTCCTGGCTCAAGATCTGGAGATGCAGGAGAGGGGTTTAATTCCCAGAAATCGAATTTCTCAGAAATCTGATTGGTGGCCAGAAGTGGGACCGGTGCAGACTGAGAAACAGGTATTTCCTGTCTCCCCTGCTCCGTGTGGGGTGAAGTCACCAGCACAGTGGGCCCATCAGGGCCCTGTCTTCTTCCTGTGTGCCCTGAGCCCACCAACACAGCCTTGCAATTTCCCGTTTCCCCTCCTTTCAGCCTCAAAAGCAGGACTTCTAAGCTTCTCCAGCTCTTGCTCCCAGATGGCATCTCCGGGCTAAACTTTGCATCAGAAACACTGCTATTCATTCACATTCTTTGGGAGAAAGAGAGAGTGTGTCTGTGTCTGTGGGGGGATGTGGGTGTGTGTCCACTTCCTCCAAATTACACAAGTTCAACATTTGTCCTAGGAAATGGAGAACAAAGCAGAAATCAAATAAGAACTATAATCCCAAGTTGGGGGTGGGAGAGAGACTCTAACCTGTTTTTTTTTTTTTTTTTTTGTTCTCAAAAGAAAAATAGTTCTTTTTTTGTGGGTTGCCTAGAAACTGTGAGGTTTCCAGCATCAGCTCAAGCTGTCCCCCAGGCAGGCGGATTATCTTTCTGCTGAGCTTGCTGAACCATTATTTATCACCTGCCAAGATTGATTACTCACCCCGGGACAATGACAGCCCTTCCTTTCCCCTGTTAATTACTGTCATCATTAATATCCACGTCACTAATTAGTATTCATTCACATTGAAACTCCTTCCTCGCTATCATATCCGCTCCCCTCCCTGCACCCACCCCCAGCTCGGGCATCATTGTCTGGGTTTCTATCCCCTTTTGGCTTCCTGGGCTCAGTCTCTGGCCTAATTGTTCTCCCCAGAGCACCAGGCCCTGGTTTGCATTCGCAGAGCTAAAGGATCACATTTAAGCACTTTTGTTTGCAAAGAAGGGAAAGGCACACAAGCCCCTTTCCTTCCCCCCCCAGCACTGTGGGGACCACAGAACTGCGTTTCTTGTCTCTGGTTCAGCCCCTGGGACAGCCATCTCTTCTGGGACTGGTATGACCTTGCTCAGATCCAAGCAAAGGCCAAAGTGGCTGCCCGCGGTGGTCCTGGGCCACTGCACTTATTCTACAGAGACACTCCCCACCCCACTATCCCTCCTATGCTGTGGCAGTTTTGGGGGGACTTCAGCAAAGATGATGGCACTGAGGGATAGGGGGTCATGCTTAGGGATAGGTGGACAAGCTTGCTTTCATACGTGGGGACTATTTCAGGCTTCCCTGGACAAATCCCAGAGTGGCCAGCATTCAGCCCGGGGCAGGAAGTAAACCATTGTGCATACAGCCCCAGGAGCAAATAAGAAAGGGAAATCTGTCATAAAACATCCTTTAAAAGCCCTCCAATTGTTATGCTCTAGAGACAGACAGGAGTAGTTGAACTAGCCAGCATGAGAAAACATTTTTTTCTTCTTTTTTCACTTTCTTTTTTTCCCTCCTGCCAACCCACAATCATTCCTTCCTTCCTGTTCTAAAAAGAATCTGTAGCAGATTCTTTTTCTGTTCTACCTAAAATTAATTGTTGCCTTGTTACCAGGATTGGATTCTGAATCTTACCTTAGTCAAGCTGCTTGGCCGAGGATTTGAAGCCAATATAACAATATAACAAATGCTACGTTATCACAACATAACAAAAGCAGGGTAGCCACCCTTTATCTGAAAGCTTTCTTTTTGAGGCTAATTTATCAACATATATCTCAGGGGTATCCATGAGATATTCTAGAGGCACCCAAACATCCCTTCCATTGGATGTATGCTTTATTAGTACATTTATGAATATATTTCTTACATGAAGTTCTATGTTGTACTTCTATGTGTAACATGTATGTATTTCAATTATGTCTTTTGTATATAAAATTACATTTATTGAACAGCTGTTTGGAAACAACCCAAAAGTCCTCTAATAGAGGATTGAATAACAAATTATGGCTCACATATGAAATAAATATTTATTGAACACCTACTGTATTAAGTGTAAAAGCAGATTGAGAACAGTGTATATGATAAAATAACATTCTGCAATGGAAAAATATTTATATTCTGTTAATTATGTATGTGTAGATATACACAGATATAAAGAAAAGTTCTGGAAGTATATTTAAATTGTTAACTTTGGGCTCCATTAGGGAGAGGGAAGGCATCAAATTATGGGCAATTTCTATTCTTTACATTTCTGTATTATCTAAAGTTCACTGAATGTTCATAGTATAATAAATACTTCTGCACTGAGAAAAAATACTTTTTATTTTCAAGAGCAGAGAAGGAAGCCTTGGCGTCTGAGGCCGAAGTGGAGAGGGTAGGGGTGACTTTGGCAGGCTCTGGCTGGCCTTGGGCCCTGGGCATACTTTGGGAAGAATGGGGCATTGCCAGTTGTCTGGGAACAGGGGAAGAGGAATGGACACAGCGTTCTTGAAGCTGTCTTTCTCCTGAGGGGCAAACGGTGGGAGGCTCAAAAATGACGCTGGATCATGGGCCTCAGATTGGTCACTCTCGCTGGTCATCTGCCATCTCTGAGCCTCAGAGAGGACTTCTGTGGACTCTAACAGAGCCATTCACCTGTAGTCTTGTTCTCAGGGTGACAGCCCACACCCCTCCCTTGTTTGCTGACTGATTTATTAATTATTGTTTATTAGACGCAGTGACCTCTTCCCTCACTGTCTTAACTCTAGGGCAAAATCCACCAGTTTTGAGTCAGCCGGTAAGGGGGTTCTGGTATTCTATATACAATTTACTTATTTTTATAATAAGCAGAGGCATTAATTTAGTGATAATAATTACTACTATCATTAGCTGTAAAACTATTAATAATAATTCATTGAGCACTTTCTATATCCAAACTAGACGATGGTGATGGTTGGGGGGAGGACCTTAGAAAATTCTAGGCTTCATCTTGAGGTGTTTTAAGCTCCTCCAAAGATCTAGCAATTGACAGGGATGCCTTCCTCCCACTAATGACTCAGAACTCCAGGGATTCTGGGATGAAAAACTCCCCCCATTCTTTCCAAAGTGTTGTCATCAATGTGAGCCCAAATCAGATTATGCAAAGTTAATAAAAAACTGGTTCCAGTCACCTGCAAATTTCAAGTTATCTGAAACCTGGCAAATTATACAGTATATCACAGTACTGATCCCTGGAACAATTCATAAGTTAATTAGCAGTTCTCACCTTTGGGGAAAGACACTTTTCTTTCCAGTAAAATGATTTTGGAGCTCAATGTACAATAAGTGTTCCCTTCCTGAGAGAGTTTACGGCATTCCTCAGTCAAGCTGATGACTCCATCCACCACTGATTTCTGTATACCGGCCAAGGTCTCTGCTGTACCTCCGGGCAGAAAGGGTAGCTTCATGTCACCTCGTCACATAGGTGCCAGGTGCAGGCCAAGGCTTATGAGGGGGCAATGATATTTCATGAGTGCCCATGTTGTGGCAAGCCAGAGCCAGGTACTGGACCCTGTCATCACATATCATCTTGACCACAACTGTGTAAAATACAATTATTATGCCCACTTAAAGATTAGGCTCAGAGAAGCTCAAGGCCATATGCTATTTGAGCCAGGGTTGGAATCTAGGTAATCTCA